ACTGGCAAAACCCCAATGTATAGAACTGTACTAGAAAATAATTCAATAGAAACCCAGTGGGGATACAAATAAATTCTTAGTGCTTCTTAATGCAAATGAAGAGCTGTATCTCAACAATCAATGATTCTGAAAAGAGAGCTCAGGAGAATTCATTTGTTCTTTTTCTTCTTCTTCTTCTTCTTTTTTTTTTTTTTTGGTACTGGCTATATAGTGACAATTTCCCAGAATCTCTAAGTTACTCCATTTCTGGATTGCAGGGATTTCTAGCAAATCATCATCATATCAGTGTCAAATCATTCATAAAGCATCAATATGAATTTGCTCCCTGAATATTCTTCAACTGAGTGAAAGGAGTTGAGGAGATAGAGGAAGAGAACTAACTTGTATTTTATATAGGAACTGTGCTAGGCTGTTGCATGATTTTCTTATTTAATAATCATAAAACTGACATAGTTACTATTATCTCTGTTTTACAGGTAAATAAACCTAAACTGTGAAAAGCAAATTATTAAAGTTCAAACATATTGTACTTTTTGGAAGCGGGAAGGAGTAGACAGGGGCTTTTGGGGAACGTTGCTGTGCTCTGTGTGTATTGCTATGTTCGACATCATTCAAGAAATTCAGGTGAAGGGATTGGCTCAGTTTAAAAGAGTTTTAGCCCACAAGGCCATGTCCTTCTGACAGCAATGCTACTCTGAGACAGAGCCGTGTGGTTCTCAGCCTCTGAAGCATTACATCTTTACTGGGGTAAGGTTTGCCAAAATGAGGGAGAAAAGATTTTAAGCAATACTATAACATGGTATTAAATAACACTGAATCAAAATTATTCTTTTGGGCTTTTTAAAAATTGAGATAAAATACACCATTTTAACCATGATGAATTTTAAAGTGTGTCATTCAGTGGCCTTTAGTACCTTCACAGCACTTCTCTTTGAATCCTTCAGATTGTGTCAAAAAAAAAGTCTCAGTTTGTTACTGGAATATCTTTAACAATGCTCTCACATTTCATTATTTACCTTTAAAAAATAAAAGCAAGCTTAGAGGCTTTGGTGAACAAGCATACAGCTAGAATGTGATAATATAAACCTGATTTGGGGTGTTAGGGGGTGATTTATTTTTTATTTGATGTGAATTTCTATGTATGTAGTCACAAAAGTTCCTTCTTAAGTACCTGTTTAAGTGAAATGGTCAGATGATTTAACAGTAGCATTAGTGGTAGGATGAGTAGTATTAGCGGTAGTATTAGTAGTATTCGTGGTAGTATAGTGGTAGATATGGCCAGGAGTCATAAACGAGGAACATGAATGACAAAGTGCTGGAACCACCCTCTGGTGGTGGCACAGACAGCAATGGGAGGGTTGTGTGATTTAGGAGGAGGAGGAGCATAAGAAGAATGAAAAACCAGTCAAAATATCATGGGAATGATGGGCTAGGACATGTGAAGGTAGAGTCTAATCATAAATCCCGGAACGCAGGCTGGTCCTGTTGAGAGCTCACTGGCCCGTCCTGCCTTCCACGGTGGTTTAGAAAGGATTGGAGGCAGCAAAACACCCTGCCTCAGAGCAGTAGGAGATCCATTTGCAGACCGGCCGTTAGAACCAGGGGCAGAAAACCGTGATGGCTCCCGGAAGGACAGACCGAAAGGAAGCTGAGAGACGGTGGCGAGAGCTGAGGGCACAGCTAACAACCGTGGGCTGTAATAGAAGGAAATGTTTCTGTCTCCCAATAACTGGTAAGAAAGGAGGTAGAGAAGAGAGGCAAGGTCAGGGGCTGGAGAGGTGATTAATAAACAAAGAGCGTGACCTTTTGCCCTCAGGCTCTCAGATGAAGGCGTGTAGTTGGAGCCGCAGTGTGGGAGTGGGCGTGTGGAACGAGTTGTCCTCCCTCCCATGGAGCTGCTCACAGGCCCGTTTGTGCAGGAAACCGACTGCATGCCTCAGAAGTGAGGCGCTGCTGCTGGAAGATCCTTCCCCGCCTACGAATCTGTTTCTAATGATTCACCATTTGTAAATGGAACTCCCATCCAAGGCTCTTCATTAGCAAGAGGTTATCAAGAAGAAAAATGGGGCACCCATCTGGAGATAAAAATCCCTGATGCCTAACAGATTGTCAGGAAAATTTCCAACCCACCTGACTTGAAAACAATGTGCGTGCACACGTACACACACACACACACACACACACTCACTCCAGAGCTAGTCTTAGCCAGAACATTTATTCATTCTAGGTACCAAAGGTATATTAGACTATCTACTACACTCAAGACAGAGGTTTTCATTTTAAAATACAACTACATATGAAAGAAAACATTAAGCCTTCATTCCTGTAGAAACTGGTATAACACAGTACAATGAGAATTTCTCCCCTAACGTCTTGGAATATGAGGCTTTGATCCACAGAAATCGCATTTCCCCAGTTACTGCCGCATTTCTTTGCTTTCCTTCCTGCAAAACTTGTCCCATGAGCTGTTCACTGTCCCCTTATCCACTTCTTCCCCTCCTGTACTCACTCCTCCCTTGCTTCTGCCCTTATCATGCCTCTGAAACCTGTCTTGTCAAAGTCATCAGTGACTTTGTGTTGTCGAACCTAATGGTCACATCTGGGTCCTCATCTTTTTTGACTGCTAACAGAATTGGATAGAGTTGAACCTGCTAACTTGAGATACTTTCTTGTCTTGGATTCTGTAACACTAAACCCTTCTGATTTTTATCCTCTTCACTGGCCACTCGTCCTCAACCTTCCTCCCCTCATGCTACTTCTACAAGTAGGAGAACTCTAGGGCTACACTTCAGCTCTTTTCATTTCTCTGTCTACTGGCTTTTCCTGGGTGAATAATTCCATCTAGTCCCGAGGGATTCAATACCATCTCTCAGCTGGCAACTCCAAATTTCTCTCTCTAGTCCTGACTCTCGCTTGAATTCTGGGCTCAGTCATCAACTCTCCACTTGATATCTCTCATTGTAGGTCCAATAAGCATTTCAGACTTAACTTATCCTAAACAAAACTTTGATTTCTCCTCCCATATTTCTTTGTCTGTCTTTCCCTTCTCAATTAGGGCATCAACATGCAAGCATTGATGAAAACAATCCATCATGGTGAAAATTGCGGTGAAAATCATGGAAAAAAGTGGTGAAAGCAAAACCATCATGTCTTGACAAGATGATTACCTTCTAGCTAGCCTTCCTGCCTCCACTCCTCTATTTAAAACTCTGCAATGACTAGCCAGGTGTGGTGGTGTGCACCTGTAGTCCTAGCTACTCCGGAGGTGGAGGTGAGAGGATGGTTTGAGCCTGGGAGGCAGAGGTTGCAGTGAGCCGAGATCATGCCACTGCACTCCAGCCTGGCTGACAGAGCCAGACCCTGTCTAAACAAACAAACAAACTCTCCAAGGGCCAGGGCTACCAGCTCTATGATTTGCCCACCTGCCCATCTCCCCATGGCCTTGTCTCCCCTGCATCCTCTCTCCTTCACTCCACTCCCTCCTTGGTGCCTGCGCCCCACTCTGCCTGCATGCCACTCAGGCTTCAACCTCCGGGGATCCACATTTGCCATTTCCTCTTCCAGGACACCCTTGCCCCAGAGAGCAGTGTGGCTCACTTCCTCATTTCTTTGCTTAAATATCACTCCATCAAAGAGAACTCCCGATTATCTTATCTAACTCTAGCCATCCATGTCCCTGTCTATCCCTTCACAATGCTTTGCTTAACTTCAAAGCCCTGTCACTACCTGACATAAGATGTTTATTTATTATCTGTCCCTCTCTATGAGAGAATAAGGTCTCAAGAGCAGGGACTTGACCTGTTCTGTTCACGGCTCTATCCCCAGAGCCTAGAAGAGTGCCTGGCCTATAGTAGACGTTAAATCAGTATCTGCTGAATGAATTAATAAATCTTCTTCTTTTCCCCTAATCCTCATGTTCAAGCCATCTGATAAATCATTCTTTCATCTCAATCCCAAATGCATCCAGCTTTATCCTAGGGGAAGCCACCATCCTCTCTCTCCAGGACCACTGCCTAGTGTCCTAACTGGCCTCCCTGTTTTCTCTCCAAAATCCATTCTCCAAACAGCAGCCAGTGATTCAAAACACAAATCAGGCTCCTTGCTGAAAACTCACAAAGGGTTCCCAATGCTCTTTGAATAAAGTGCAAACTTCGAGCCCTGGTGTAAAAGCCATGAGAGGTCTGGGCCTCACAACCGCTCCCACCTCGCTGTGGTCCTTGCCCCTGAGGCTTCTGCCACCCTTCTTCTCCCTGTGCCTTGAACACATCGGGTTTGTTCCTGCCTCAGTGATTTGCAAATGCTGTACTGTCTCTCCAGACAGCTCTTCCCCCAGACAACCACACAACCGGGGCTTATCCAAGTTTAAGTGAAATATCACCTGCTCAAAGAGAGATCTTCCCTGGTCCTCCATCTAAGTTAGGCCCTAGCCCATCACTCTGTTTCAGGTTAGTGTGTCTTATTCTCTACATAGCACATATAAGCATACTGTTTATTCACTTCTATATGTTTTTTTAACTTGCTATTCTTAGTAAAATATTCTCCCTTGTTCTCCATATATATTCTCAGTACACTATATAAATGTGGTGTTATTGTTGCTATTAGTAGTAGTAGTAGTAGTAATAGTGTTTGGAAATGGGGTGTCCCTCTGTTGCTCAGGCTGAAGTGAGCACAACAGCATGATCCTGGCTTACTACAACTGATACGGTTTGGCAGCATCCCCACCCAAATCTCATCTCGAATTGTAACTCCCACAATTCCCACATGCCATGGGAGGATCCTGGTGGGAGGTAATTGAATCATGGGGGCAGGTCTTTCCCATGTTATTCTTGTGATAGTGAATAAATCTCACAAGATCTGAAGGTTTTAAAAACAGGAGTTTCCCTGCACAAGCTCTCTCTCTTTGCCTGCTGCCATCCATATAAGACACAACTTGCTCCTCCTTGCCTCCTGCCATGATTGTGAGGCCTTCACAGCCACGTGGAACTGTAAGTTCATTAAACCTCTTTCTTTTGTAAATTGCCGGATCTTGGGTATATCTTTATCAGCAGTGTTAAAACAGTTTTCCTGGCTCAAGCCCAGCAGCCTTGAATTCCTGGGCTCAAGCCTTGAACTACAGCAGCCTTGAATTCCTGGGCTCAGGCCCAGGGGTTCAATATTATTATTACTATTATTATTAATTTTATTATTATTATTCATCAACTATATTAAATTGAGTTAAATTTGGTAACTTTTAAAATTTTTTCTTGGACAAGTAATTTTTCTTAATAAAGTTTTATTAAAGTTTCAAATCTTGGGATGAATTAAAGATATTATTTGTATTAGTCAGGCTAATTAACTGCAGCAAGCAACACCAGAAGCAACGCCAGAGGCGTAAATCAATGCAAGTATATTTTACATACATTTCAATGTTCAGTGAAGAAGTTCTATGAGCAGCATTCCATACAAAGGTCTCAGGACCCAGGTTCCTTCCGTCTGTGGCTCTGCCATACCCAGCCTTCAAACCTTCCACTGGCATTTCCTCATCTGTCCCGTCAGGATGCCAAGAGAAAGAGCAAGGTAAGAATCTCCATGGAGATTTGGGGGGCCAGGCCCAGAAGTGGAAGACAACACTTTTATTCACATTCCGTTGATGAGAGCTTGTCATATGGCTCAAACTTAACTGCCAGGGAGGCCAGGAATGGCCAGGAGGAGGGGTCAGGACTGGCAAGCATTTCCTCAGTCTCTGCCGCACCATTCTTGTTCTGCGTGGAGCATGGTGACTTCCAGGTATCTGCCTCCTAAGCAAGTTTGATTATGGCCTTTTAGGAACTTGGGGTTTATAGAAAGTGATGAATAAACCTCAACAGATAGGGAAGACCAAAAGGTTTCTGACCCTGTCAGAGCAAATGAACACGAAACTCTGCCAGAGCAGTTCTAACCTCCTCCCCTGCCCGCATGTGCCTTCACGTTTTTCCGCATTCCTAGGAGTACAATATTTGGGCCCAATTCCAGCCATAACACCAACTCAAACTTTGCAATGTTCAGCAGCAACTTGAGACTCTGAATTTCAAGGCCTATTTTCTTGCTAAGACAAATGGATTTTGAGAGCCACGGGTTTTAGTTTTTACTGGTGGTTTCTCCCTTTTAACTCTTCTTACACTTCACTTATTTTTGTTGAGCTGTACATGATCTTGTCCAATATCATGGGAAACAGCCCACATAAATCAATTATCAATAGTTCAGCCAGGGTGGGAACAAATTCAAACAGCCCATTCTAAAGCAATATATTTAAATATTTTCTAATTCATGGTAAATTAAATCCAATGAGGATAGCCTGCATATCCCAGTGAGGAAATTTTTATTTTCTCATTTTCTTTCTTGGTTTAATCTTACTCACTTTGGGCTTATTCTGTGATCTGCATCTCATAATTGTTTCCCTCAAGTAATCAAAAGAAATAACAAGGCCATAAAGATGAGAAACAAAGATATATGTCAGAACAGGGTGGTATTTCATGTATAAAATAATAAGATCCAAACCCCAGTTCCATCCCATGAACAAGTATGGGACATTGGGGCAACATACATGAAATGAATGTGTTGACTCCTACAAGGTTCTCATTTGTTGATTTGTTCAATAACAATTAAATACCAAATTACAGGCAGCTAGACAAAACAAAGAACAGAACGCAGTTGAAAAGAGAAGATGTACAATTATATAGCAACCTTAATAGAACAACTATGTAACAACCTTCATGTAGTCTTCAATTTGAAGTAATATGACAAATACAGACCACAGTTCGAAATATCACCTCGGAAAGACAGATTGCTGTGGAATGGGTTGAGAGCAGGAAGTCTTCAGGAAATTAAAGGAAAGACATCATGTGGAGTAGGGAAGAGGAGGTTCTACAGGGAGGGCAGAGGATAAGCAGACACAAATATGGGAATATACAGGAAAAGAAGAGAGCACACTGAAAACTGTGTGACTGAAGTCAGGCATGTATAATGGGCTGCTCTGTGAAAGAAAGTTGAAAAATATGGTCCATGGAGCAAGGCTCATCGTTACTAGGCTGAGCCCAGACTTGAAGTAATCAGAAATAAGGAAATAGTATAGGGCCTTAATCAGGGGAGAGAGATGATGAAAGCAGTGATGAATCTGGCTGCAGGCAGGAGGATAGATTAAAAGTGAGAAGACCAGTAAAGAGGCTGTTGCAAAAATTTATACGAGACTTGATAGGGACTTGGCTCTGAGAGGTGACAGCTGACACGAAGACCCAGGGACAAATCCAAGAGTCTCTGTGGAGAAAGGAAAGATGCTTGTAAATAAAGGAGTAAAGGAGAGGAAAGAGGGCATGAAAATCCTGGGGATGAGAACACGGGTGGTGGCATTGAAGACAAGAGGAATTTATCAAGTAGAGGATGCATTTTTTTCAGATTAAATTTTGTAACGTATATTTATGAGTTAGTCATCCATGGAATATTTCTTTTTAACTTCTAATTCTAAGACACATGGTTAAAATTAAGGTTAATATTCTTGTTGGCTTAAGTTTTATATAACTTTGAAATTTACAAGGTTGGGGGGATTGAGAATACATATCAAGATATTATATGTTGCCAGGTCATGTTTTAATCTTTAGCAGAATAGCAGAACAGTGCTACATGTAATCAAAACATATTTTACTAGGAGAAGCAATCAGAGCTCAAGACAAAAATGGTTCTTGGATAAGGATAGCTGGTATAAGACAGCTAATTGATCTTTTAAGGATCATGTGAATTTGTACCTGACGTTTTCTCTTCTTTTTTATAGTTACTTCAGTAACAAACAGAAAGCGGCCCAACCGATGCCAAAATCCAAAGAAAAATAGACACTCGACCCAGAATAAGGTAGATACCAGGCAAGATGTTTTTAAAAACCTGGTGAAAAGCAAAGCATGCAAATTTCAGGAAGAGAGAAATGTCTGTATGTGAAATGAATGTAAACATGAAGATCTTCCAGGAGCAAATGGGAAAGGCAAAAGAATAAGCAAAACACCCCACCCAGAACAGAGACTTTGGAAGAAAGTTGTGGTAAATAAAAGTAAACTGGAGATCTGGAGCTCCTCAGATTAGAAATGTGTAAATTACCACAAAGTAAAATCACATACAATATTTAGCAGCGAGACTTTAGCTTTTGGCATTGTCAAAAGTACGATCTTTTCTCAGATTCTGGAGTTTTCAGTTTACTAAAAAAGCGTGACCTCCAGGGCCAGAATAAAGGTGGCCTGCCTCTTGTAGTGCTATGGAAGGTAGAAGAGCGCCATTGGGAACATGGAGCAGTTCTGCATTAGAATTTTGGCTGGGCACGGTGGCTCACACCTGTACTCCCAGCACTTTGGGAGGCCAAGGTAGGCAGATCACTTGAGGTCAGGAGTTCAAGACCAGCCTGGCCAACATAGTGAAATCCTGTCTCTACTAAAAATACAAAAATTAGCCCAGTGTGGTGGCACACCCCTGTAGTCCCAGCTACTTGGACAAGGAGAATCGCTTGTACTCGGAAGGCAGAGCTGTTTGTTCGAGACCTCTGCCATGGGTTCCCACAGACAAGACTGTAGAACTAAATAGTTTCCAAAATGTAGATACATAGATGGGATTGCAGAAGAAGCAAGTTGGGGATTTGTTTGAAGTTAAGGTATGTATAAATATTTCTAATTGACCTCCAGTATAATTATTCCCTTCTGGCTCAGTAACAGAATTTCCAAAGGTTAGCAGGGCATTTGGCTGCCTAAAATAAAGACTAGCTTTTTTTTTTTTTTTTTTTTGCAGCTGAGATGTTGCCCTACAATGAAGTTTTGGTCAATGGATTATAAGAGGAAGTCGTGTGTGCAATTTCAGGGAGTATGCCCTGTTACTGTTCCTTTCTCCTTTCCTGCTCGCTGAAATCTAAGCGTGATGGCACAGGCTACAGAAGCCATCTCAGACCACAAAGTGAAAGCCACATGCTGAGGATGGTGAGGCAAGAAGAGAAGAGCCTGGGTCCCTGATGATAAGGGAGCAATCGTACCAACCATAGATAGTGTTTACTTGAAAGTGAGAGCAACTTCCACATTGTTAGAGTCCCTGACAATTACCTAACAATTAAAGTTATCTCAGGATAACTTGAACTTACAGAGGCAGGACAGGCTTGACCCAAACCAAACTGGTATACAGCTTCTTGCACTAAAAAGCAGAAAGCTGCATTCAAGGTAGATATTAGGGTGAGTCCGATCAGTGTGAATGAACGTGAGTTTTAGTTTTAGCTTGACAGTGAGAAAAAAAGGAAAACGAAGTACCCACCTAATTAGATAACTGACAAGGTGGGGATTGGGGAAAATGCAGCCAACATACCTATCACTTTCTGCTTAGAAACACACAAAATAGAAAAGGGGGATTAGGCTTTGAGCTGAAAGTGAGGGGCTTTACATAATAATCATTAGCCAACAACGGACTAAGAGTTTCCCGGTTATAAACATGGGACAGAATGGAGGGTGTTTCCCAGAAAAAAAAGTGCATTGTAAGGAACAAAATCAACAGCAACCTTGGAAAATATTTGCAGGGCTAAGAAAATACAGTAGAATTTTCCTAGGCAGAAATTTCACAGTTAAACCATGAATATGCGGCAACAGGGTTTTACTACAAGCCAAATATCTATGAGATAAAAACTGGAAATACTAAATGAAAGTGAAGAAATCACAAGATTAAGCAAGTCAGAAAAATGATGGACCTCGTTTAACCGTACGAACTGGCTAAACGCTGTTTGGTAAGGAGCGTGGGGATCAAACAAATGACTGTTCTTTAGAATTCACAAACAAAGGAAATATCACAGTTGGGCTTTAAGAGCCAGATAAGAATTTACAGAGAAAGTATTTTCATAGGAACCACCGTGTAATAATGGTTACAACATAATTCAGTTCCACATTCTGGCAGAAAATAAAAAATATTCATTATTCAGTTACCCAGTTTTAAAAAGGGAACTGTAATTGACTCACAAGCAGTCAATTTGAAACAACAACAACAAAAGCATTAGGGGAATCATATCAAGAAAAATTAATTGAGAAAACCAGGTTATTGTTTAAACATTACTAGAAACCAAAGGAAAGTACTTGCCAGAGACCAAAAAAAAAAAAAAAATCTGATCCTTTAAAAAAAAACAAGAAAAAGGAAAAAATCTATATGACCACTAATAGTTAAAAACAAACAAAAAACAAAAACCACTTCTATTTTGGGAAGAACACTTTTTTTTTTTTTTAAATTTGAGACAGAGTCTCGCTCTGTTGCCCAGGCTAGAGTGCAGTGGTGCAATCTCAGCTCACTGCAACCTCTGCTTCCCAGGCTCAAGCAAATCTCCTGCCTCAGCCTCCCAAGTAGCTGGGATTACAGGAGTGTGCCACCATGCCCGGCTAATTTTTGTATTTTTAGTGGAGATAGGTTTTCACCATGTTGCTAGGTTGGTCTTGAACTTTTGACCTCAAGTGATCCACCCACCTCGGGCTCCCAAAGTGCTGGGATTACAGGCATGAGCCACCGCGCCTGGCCTCTTTTTTTTTTTTTTCTTTTCTTTAAATGTAAAGGTTGACCAAGTGAGACTCACAGGAACAGGGGACACACAGATTGTGAGGGACAGGTGTAAACCAGAAACTGCTGGGAGGTTTCAGTGCTGGAGTAAGAGAATGAGGAAGGTCAGCTGGAAGTCTGTGGGACCTCCTTTGATCATGGCACAGAAGATTTAATAGAAGATGGAAGTAAAAAAAAGAGAGAGCGAGAAAGAGACTAAATGAAGATTTTAGTGAAATTTTGTCTCCCAAATTCCATTTGAAAGTACTGATTGGAGACACAAGAACAAGCAGCAATAAATGCCCAGAATGTTCTAGATGTGGCTGATAGAATGAAGTCATCAGAGCCAGAGAGCTACTCAGGAGCTCTGAAGGAAGTATTTCCAAAAATGTGTAAGAAGCCATAGTCAACGCATGACTTCAGATCGCCAAGTAAGCATCTCATCTGCATGAATATCTTCAAAAAATGTACCAACAAAACAGAAGCTTCACTTATTTAACAGGTAAACTCGTAGAAGAGAAAATCAAGTAGAAATCCTCCATATTTTTCAAATGTGGCAAAATAGGGGAAATCAGGCTAAAGGAATCTAGTATTTTAGGAGAGAAATAAACATGAAGACTAGGAGAATTCGTGGACATAATGTATTTAGAGGTTTAAGGTTCTCAATATGAAAAATAATTTACATGGAAAGAAATAATTTAATTTTACCTGAAATACAACTTGGTCTATTTTAAAAAAACAAAACAAAACTCAGATCTGACCGAGGCCTTACAGAGCAGAGTAGTTTATCATGATAATTTCTTGAGGGTATGCAGAAAAGATGCTGCATTGCACATCGCATAGCACAGTGCTAAAATTCTTTCAATACCTCTCTTCTCAAAGAGCGTGAGTGTGCATATGTGTGCACGCCCCCACTTCACCCTCCTCACTCACATAGACCCAAAAGTTAGTTTGATGGCTTCAGCAAGAGAAAACCCCTCATTTGGCCCAAATATTAACCATCTACAGTTCTTTAAATATGCTCTTGGGAATATTCAATTCACTCTGCCATGTAAGACAGAAAACGTTTCAGAAGAAAATCAAAACATCGTTCTATCTTTGCACATGTGGAAAAAAGTGATGATGATAACAGCTAACACTTTCATAGCATTTACTAATGCTTTATGTATATCAGCTCCTTTAATATGGCCTATTATCATTATCATCATCATTATTCCCTTTACACACATGAGGAAACTGAGGTCACACAGCTTAAGGAGCAGGACAGGTTTACGACCCTGTTCTTTCTTCTGGCTCCAGAATACATGTTTTTTACCACCACCATATGGACTCTCTTCTCTCCCCAGTGGCTTTCGCTTCCTGAATCTTCTCTGTGGATGCCACCTTTGCATGGCTCCTACCTACTTCTCCCTCCCCTTTACCACTCAGTAGCTGGGCCCGTGTGGATTCCTCCAGCAGCCGCTCCCTGCCTGCGATTTTGCAGAAACATGCGTCCACTCTGATGCACACTCACGCTCACACATGCACCGTGCAAACTCACTCTCACACGCACACAAACTCACACACATACCATCTTTTCTCCATACAGTCAGAGTGTGGGGTGTCCAGCACTTCAAGCACTTAAAGTCAGCACTTCTGCTTCCTGCCTGGTAAGAGTAAACAAACAAGAAAATAAATAAACAAGAACACAAGTATCCACTTTTTAAATGATTTAAAACACAGATGTTGATTGCAGTGGGGTGTCAGGAGACTAGATCTCACCATTTCTGAACACTTGAGGGTAAAATTAGGAACAAAATGTATTTGAAATCTTCCAGAAATTGGCTTCCTGAGACTCTAAAAGTGGAAGTAAGAATGTGTCTTCTGGGCACGCTTTTCTTGGTTCTGGACGGGAGCAAGTTGATGATCTCAGGGTAGTGGCCACTCTGGGTCCACGTGGCAATGGATGCCAGAGCCTGTCCCAACCTCGCCCTGCCAAGAATATTAGCACCCAAGGAAGGGTCATGGAGGGAGCAAATTTTAAATGTAGTAGTGTTGGGAGCAGGCCAGTTTGGGGAGCGAGTTGGTGTGTGTGTTGCAGACTGGAGGAAGCGCTGTTCCAGAAAGGGGAAGAGCAGGCCAGTGGGAATCTAACTCTTTTACCCTTTAAAGAACAATTGTGTGCCCGCAGCAGTGACCCAAAACAGAGATCCAGGCACAGCTCATTCCCTGGAACAAAACCAGCAACAGTGAAGTGTTCTTGGAACTCAACAGTAGGACTCTTCCAGCTTCAACAGGGCACCTGAGTTCTGGGCCCAGCGTGAGAAAATAGGCACCAATAAGGCTCCACCATAGTTCCTGTCCATATAAGGGGAGGGAGGGGCTAAGAGAGGAAGACTGGATTTCCTAGGCATGTGGGGAGTAGAGAAGGTATTAATTTCAAAAATATGTGAAATGTGACTTTATTTGTTCCTCTTTGTATGTGAAATGGGTCATATCAATGACATTGGCTATTATCATTTCTTCCTTCTCCCACTCTCCATTCCATCTCTAGAACCATGCCCTGGACCACTGCCTTCTTCAGACTTCCTGAGACCAACATCACAGATCACTGTTTGACCCTATTCTGCCCTGACATCATTTCTTCATCAAAGAACACCTGTGCTTTTGTGATATGTTTATGTTCTAATCTGGTCCTCAAATTTTCGGGACCACAAGATGCATTTTATCTGTTTACTCTGTATGATCCAATGGTTATAAATTGATTCGCACTAATTAAACCCACAAAAGGCTGATTCACAAACTGAGAGAACAATGTGTTAAATTACAGAGAAAGATTAAACTGGGGTGAGAAGCAAGGACATGCATTTGAAAGGCCACTGTATTTGGGGTGAGTCCACCCTAGAAGCCAACAGCAAAGCCAAGCATGACCTTGTCAACACAGAATCCATGCAAAGATGTTTGTATGTTGTCATGTGATATTTCTAGAAAGTTCTGGTAGACTGAGAATTTGCCTTTCATGATGGTTATGCTTGAAAAACCAAGTCCAGTATTTAGAAGGAGATAGTCTTCTCCCTGGAGGGGGCCAGGGTGACATTGATAAATTCTTACAACTCAACCCTCATTTTTCCCATTGTCAAAGAAAGATATTCTCATTCTGTTTGTACTTGTCGTTATGCTTAGATTATCAAACTTACAGGTAACTTTTATCAATTATACTTTGATGGGTAATTTAGATTGTGTCAAATAAGTCTAAGCATCATAGCACAGCACCTAAGGGCTAGAAAAACATTGGTAATCATCTTGTTCAGTGGTTTTCAAATTGCATCTCATGGACCCAACAGGCTGCTGGATTAGGTAGCTAGAGGTGTGAGGAGGAAGCTGAGTAAGCAGGCTGTGGCCGGCCATCATTCCCTTTTAAGGAGCTTGAATTATTCAAAGTGCAGTAGCCATTGATACATTTTAGTATAGAGTGACACAATGAAGTTTACCTTTTAAAGAATCAATTTGAGTGAAGTGATTGGAGAAGGCAAGAGTAGAAGACCACCAAGGAAGTTATATAGCATTTGTCTAGAGCAGCCATGGTGGTGTTGGGGACCAGGGTAATAGCAATAGAGTTAGAGAGAAGTGGATGGATTTCAGATGTAATTTAAAGTTACAATTTGATAGGACTTGGCTAATGAGGAAGCAGAAATTATCTAGAATTCACTCATGTATCCCAACTGGAAAATGTATTGAGTACTAACAATGGGCTAGGCACTAGGCTAGGTGTTCAGCTAGACAACCAAGTCCCTGCCCTTCCTGGAGTTCATATTCTAGTAGAAGGAGATGAACAATAGATGAGCATACAGGGAAAAGCTAACATGCTCTGAAAGAGCTTGGGAAATTAATTGTAGGACCCACACTGTTTTCCTTCTTTCAGAGATCTCTGTTCTGAACCACCTGCTGTTACAATCAACCAAGTATCCAATCCCCTCAAAATCATTGCACATGTTTTGCCTATTTCTCAGTGTGGAAGATGGAAAGGTCAATCTACTCCCTGTTATTTCATCATGGCCAGAAGTAGAAGTAACTTTTTCTTGCATAAATGTGGTAGAAGGGACAAAGGAAAGGAAGAAGTCAAAACTCCTCACGCTCTGACTTAAAAGCACAGTAGACAGTTGTGAGACAGAACCAGATGGCTTTGGATTTATTTTTGTTTCTTCCTCTCTTCCTCCCTTCCCTCCTTTCCTCCCTCCCTCCCTTCCTTCCTTTCTTTTGTATATGTGTGCTTTAAGTTTTGTTTTGTTTCAAAGATTCCTGAGAGCAGAGTGATGTGGAAAGGATGGAAATCAATGGACTGGCTCTGAACATGCTGAGTTTGAGATGCCTGTAGCACCCGTGGCACAAGAAAGTTCCAAGAGGAGGCCAGGGATATTCTTGAGCACTTGGGCACATGAAGATATAATTCACTGAGATGGAGAATCTGTAGGAGCAGATTCATGGAGAGAGATTTAGCACTCAGATGTTGAGAAGTTAATTTTGAAATATCTATGAGACATTGAAATATCAACATCAAATAGGCAGTTCAATATTTACTTGTGGAGCTCGGAAAGAAGAGCTAGACTGCTTACATAAATTTAAGACTCTTCAACATAGAGGTGGCATTTAAATCATGGTAAAGGATAAGGTTACTTTGGAAGAGAGAGAGAAGAAAGGAAAGCAGAAGAGGAAAGGAAGGAAGAGCACAGGAGAAGAAAGAAGATGAGAGAGCGGAGGGGAGGCGAGAGGAGAGGAGAGAGGAGGGGAGAGGAGAAGAGAGAAGACGAGAGGAGAGGGGAGGGGAGGGGAGGGGAGGACCTAACGAGCCACCAGCATTTAGATGAGTATCAGCGTTTAGAGGCTGCACATAGGAAGAGAGATCATCAAAGAAGAATAAAAAAGGACTGGCCACAGAAGAAAGAGGGGAAAGTATAGTGTATTTTCAAAAGAAAAAGTATTTCAGGAGGGAATATCAATTGGTTCAAATGCTGCTGAGAGGTCAAATAAGGTAAGAATGTAAAAGTGTCCATAGGATTCAGTATTGGAAAGTATTTAGGATTTGAAAGTCACTAGTGGGTTTATTAAAAGCAGTTCCTTAGAAAAGGAATTTCAACCACAGTAAGGTGGAGAATGAATGGGAGGTGATGCAGAGGCAGGATATGCAGGGAGTTCTTTCATGGGGAATGAAAAACTAGAGTATCCTGGAGAGACATGGCACGTTAGGGAAGGTTGATGTTTAGTTTTAAGATGCAAGACACAGAGAGTATTTGGATGATAAAGAAAAGAGGTTAAGAATGCAGAGAGAGAGACTAAGAGGCAGAGCAAGGCTCTTGAAAAGGTTCCTGAAAGGTCTGGGATCCAGAACGTACTTTGTAATGGCCACTGCCACATTCTCCTGTTAGCTCTAGCAGATCTCCCCTAATGGGTTAAGACTTCTTTCAAAGCAGGGATCCATCCCCAACCCTCAGTTCTTTTCTGAGCCCACGTATGGCATAACAAAAGCAAGTGTTTGAAATATTAATACTTCTTCAACAAATTAATATGTACACAAGGCAAATGAATGAATAAAATCTGCCCTTTAAAGAGAAGTAAAGATATCTATGTATTTAATTACTCCTAGACCAGAAAATATTTTCTATAGCTTTTGGTGACTGTCCCCAGAGTAGAAAATAAGCACAATAAGAGCAAAATTTTTATTATTAATATTTTAGAGACAAAGAATGTGCTTTTTTCCCCCAAACTAATCACAACTGATGAATAGCTACTTCCTGTGTAGACCCAAAGGCTTCTTTCATCTTCTAGGGCAAAGAGTAATTGCTATATTATACATCTAAAATCCATTCTCATTTATCAAAAAAAAAAAGAAAACCTTAGTTTGGAAAGTACTACATAAATTATTTCCATTATTTCCATAATGTGTCTCTATATGTTGACATAGTATTAGTATGCCATTAATTCTCAATCATTAGGCAAGTAATAGAATCAAATCCTGGTAATAGAATCAAATTCAAAACAATGAATAGTAAGTGGAGTGGAAGACAGCAGATCTGTCAGCCTAATTTGGGCTCATTTGGACTAATAGTCCATATCAGAACACTGATGACAGAGGTTCAGCTCCAAAGTATTTTGTGTGTCAAGGGGTCAACTCAGAAATTTTTAATTCCTGAGATTTATTTACAAAATGCATTAAGAACTAGCTGAAAAGATAGACCCCTATACAGGAAGAAGGTCATGTAGTTCAGGGACATAGCAAAAGGCAAAATTAGAGCATAGCATATACAACTAGAACTGAGAAATTATCTAGTCGTTCCCTTTCATGTCACACATGAATATAAAACCCAGAGCAATTACATGACTTGCCCAAGGTCACATAGCCAGTTTAATGAGACATCCCCACAGGAAGTGGTATCTGGTGATATCCTAGTTCAGTGCTCTACACCGTTTTACATCCCCAATGAGTTTTTGTTTCCAATGTCTTCTACAGCAAAAAGAATTGTCTTCAAATTCTAAAGGATATTTTAAAATATAAAGAATAAACTGAAACCCAACATAGATAAGGCATTAAGAGAAATCAGGATTTTTGAAGCTCATTTTACTCCAGACACTTCACAGCTGTTAAACTCATTTAATCCTTTCAATTCCCTTTCAGGTTTTATTCTCATTTACAGATAAGGAAACAGAGGCTACAGAGACTAAGTAATTTACTGCACGTCACACAACTAGCAAGTGATGCATCAAGACATGAATTCAAGCCTATAATTCTAGGTATACTTCTCTCTTTACTATATCACACTTCAAATGAGATCACATCTCCCAGCCCACACAGATCATAACCCAAAGCAATGAAAGACTCCGAGATGCAATTATGCAACCACTGTTGGCAATCTTTGGGGGCGGGGGGAACGTGAAGAACAAAGAGGTGCCAGGAGACTAGAAAATATTTTTTGATTGTGAAATTCAAGAAAGCCTAGATTCTGGGAACTGCAGCCTGGTCAAAGCAAATTCTTGATGTCAACTGTTGGCAAAATTCAAGGATAAATGACTAAATAGATGGTTTGTGAACCACTTAGAAAAGAATGTTATGATCACATGGAACCAACATGGGTACACTAAGGCCGTGTCATGCCAAACCATCAAACATATTCACTAGAAAATAAAGTTGTCAGTCGGAATGTCATTGTGGTTGATTTGAAAATATGTGATTTAGATAATAGGACAGTTGATATGTTTACAACTGCTTGAAGTTACCACTGACCTGTCATATTGCCCTGCCTAATATTATTCCATTAAAAAGTTTAATGATGTCTTTTTAAACATTAAAAATTGTCAAATTTGTAGATAATTCAAAGTTTAAAGAGATGCGATAAATAATAAAAACCAGTAATTATTTTAACAGACTAAAATGATGGTCAAGCCCCCAATTTTAGATTTAACAGGGAAGAATATAGTTATGCATTTAAGTAAAAATAAATAGATGGTACGTATCAGATAAATAGACATGTAGGTAGGTACATATATAAGGACTTATATCTGTAGATTTTGATATCTGCAGGTTCCGCAACCAATTTCCCATGGATATCAAGGGAGGACTGTGCATACATTATCACTGGGAATTGCTATAATAGAATTTAGATTACAATTCAAGGTTTCTGATTCTTCATGCATTTTCCGTGAAGAACTACCTTCAAATGTTCGAAAAAGATGTATTAGTTTTAGTCTACGACCATATCACCCTGAACATGCTCCATCTTATCTGAAAAAGACATTTTAGGAAAAAAGATTAGAATGATTCTACAAGACCCTAGAGGTCCCACCAACATCAGATCAATAAGGGGACATTATCAAGAAGCCACTTTAGTGATCTGGAAAATAGGTTGATATAAACACAGAAATTTGAAAAATGAATAGAATTTTTTTTAAATAGCATAAGAGATATATAAGACGTGGGGAAAGATCTAAGATGTATTTAATTAGAATCCCTAAAGGACCAAAGTTGCATGTAACTAGAGACTCAAAAGGGGAGATGACACAAGTGGAGCAGAAGAAATATGTAAAAAGATGACATCCTAGATCAGGGGTGTTCACTCTTTTCACTTCCCTGGGCCACGCCGGAAGAAGAAATGTCTTGGGTCACACATAAAACACACTCACACTAACAATAGCTGATGAGCTTTATATATATATATACACACACACACTATATATACACACACACTATATATATATACACACACACACAATATATATACACAAAAAACCTCATAACATTTAAAGAAAGTTTAAGAATTTGTGGGGTTGGGCCTCATTCAAGGCTGTCCTGGGTGAAATGCAGCCCATGGGCTATGGGTTGGACAAGCTTGTCGTAGATATTTCAAAAGCTCACAAAGCAATCAAAGAGAACTTAAGAATGATCTGGAATTAAAGTAGAATAAATGCAAAGGAAACCACATCTTGTCATATCAACATAAAACTACTAAGAGCAATGACAAAATCTTAAAGGCAGCCAGAGAAAACAGGCACGTTACTTTCAGAGGAGCCACGATAAGCAAAACACCAAGAGCTTACTCCTCAATAAACAGTGGAAGCCTGAAAAACAAACAAACAAACAAAGCAACACCAAAGCAAAACAAAAAAAGGGCATCTTTAAAGTCCTGAAAGGAAACAAATGCTAACCTAAAATTCTATACCTAGTGAAAGTATCTTTTAAAAACGAAGATATACTAAAGATA